GTGCCTTTGCTTCTCTCTGCTTCCCAAACACAGTACCTGGGATGGGAAGTCAAAGAATAGTTTTGCCATTGCAGCGGGAACATAACAGTGTTAATTCCAGTGCCTCTGCAGAGGGCCGAAGGATGAAGAGCGGGGATAGGTTAAGGTCCTTGCACTCCTTGTTCTGCACTCTTTCCCAGACGTTCCCTGTTTTGTATGGTAGGTCCTTGGTAAATCGTTCCAGTTGTCAATTTAGCATATCTTTTCTTTAAGCAGCACAATCTGACTACAGTAAGGCCAGGAAAGGCCTCAGCTTAAGGTCCAACCATACTTTAAAGATAATAGCGAAGATTCATAATTTATTGAAATAATTCTGGTCTCCTCGGAGAAGTTATGTCTACTTCCATCAGACTGAAACTGGCCTGCTATATGTACTTTTCTTTGGAATGACAGCATTACAATATTTTCCTGTGAGAAAGTAACGTATTTAGAAGTAATGCGTAACATATGAAGTGCAATCTTTTTTGTAATGCTCACGGTGGATAAAACCTTCATTGGTACAACCTACTAAATTGTAGTAGTTCTCCATGATTTTGTGAATCTGAGTGTAGTGTTAAATTTAAAATAAAATACAAAAAACAAGAAAGGGAAAACTGAAAAGAATGTGTTTATATATAGTTGGTACAAGAGAGAAATTGTGTTGTTTGTGCTTTATAGTGTTCTCTATACAGCTGTTAAATATTATTGAAGCTCTAAAATGAAACAAGTTGTAAAGTAGTTTGTAGAGAAATGAAAACATCTCAGATTAAGTAAAATCTTAGAATGGTTTGTTGTCTATGTCATATTTTGTATTTGAATGTAACAAGTAACGTGTAAATCTTTTTTTCTCCCAATCTTCAAATTCCATATTCCTCTCTTTCAAAGACATTTACTCCTCATTTATGCCACATGTGAGAGTAAGATATAACCTTTTTTCTGCCCTCCTGTTAATTACAAGGTTAGAGCAGAATTTTGCAACCTTTGCTACAAAATGTGGTGACATTTCTTCATCAGAAGCCTGGGAGCTCCTGTAAGAATTAGCTGTATGCTTCTGCTTCCATTTCCATCAGTGTTATCAGAGGTTTGCCTTGTATGAAAGGAGAGCGGTCTAAAACCGCGAAAGTGTGCGTTGAAGTGGGCTGCCAAAAGTCTCAGTTTGAAGGAGTCTGAAGCATCAGCTTGTCTAAAGCAGGCAAGTTCTGTGAACTTCCATGAATGTCAAGTTAGGTATTTGGGGAGGAGCTACCACGTTCCACGTGCAAGCATCGCCATAAGATACTTGTTTGCTTGATTTTAAGGCTTTAGAGAAGAACAGTTTTGTGTAACAAAAGTGTTTTAAAAATACTTGAGAAATTAGGAGCTATAATATGAAATATACACAAACTAAAACCAGTGTGTGTTTGGTGAATTGTTCAGCTTCTTTGCTGTCTGCATTGAACTCAGTATTTCCAGGCTGTTTTTGTTAGAAAAAGAATGCAACACTTGAATGTAAATGCAAAATAAAAACAGATAGTATTTGACTCTGGAAGACCATGTCATTGCTAGAGATTATCACAGATTCAGAGTTCTGTCAGACTTTTGATCCAAGTTATATTGATATTGTGGGTCAGTAGAACTCGCTTCTTTTGTACTTGATATCCAAGAATAGTAATTAAGACCACATACCAGCAGACTCAGAGCTATATTTATAAGCATACTGTATACAGTATATCTCAGTACAATCGTTAGCAGCAAACTTAAGGGCTCTAATTCCGAAGTTCATATCAGAATATCGGTTCAAAGTGAATATTTAAATATGTATGTGGAGAATCTTACAGTGTGGGGAGTTAATATTGGAAATAACATTGTTTTTTGTTTTTTGTTTTTTTTAAGAGACAGAGGCTTTTTTGCTGTAAGCTTGTTTATTCCAATTCTGAAGATTAATCACCAGTTTAAAAAAAAAGTATTGTCATCCCACCTGCTACATTTTTATTCTGATTATTGCCTTTTGTAAGACACCCCTCTGGAGCTTACAGCACATCTCATTTTAATGTGGTTTGATGCACAAATGAACTTGGACAACACTCTGTACTCCTGTTTGTTTTTTCTAAATCTACATTGCAGTTATTTCTGTCATGCTTAAATTTATATTATCTGCTTTAGATATGAGGAGAAAGGTGGTATGTCCTTGGCTCAGGTGACAGATATCTCAGTAAGCAAAATAGGTATTGGTGGGCTGAGAGACTTCTTGTTTGTTTTTATTTCTTAAGCAGCCTCTTCTTGCATTTTCTGTCCTGTTTAAAGGCTTGGAGCTATGAATTTTAATTGTGCTTCTTCTAAAATCCTTTGTTGCTGGGGAATTTTTAATCTGTTCAGGCTGCGTGGGTTTGTGTTTGGCAAAAGGAAGAGGCCTGGCCCACCAGAACCTGGAAGTCTCCTTTTCTGTTCCCAAAGCCAAAATCTACTTGGGACATTGCATGTTGTTTGCTACAGGGTAGCTTTTCACCATAGTTCTGAATCTGATTTGGGGGCCACGGCGCAGAGACGGGTCCTGTGCTAACTAGTCCTTTGCTGTACAATTTTGGCTAAATCTGCATTCGTTCTGGTCTTGCAATTCATGCTGAAGTAGCAGCTTTTCCCCTAACTGAACATGTACCATACTCTCAGAGGTCAGAAGCCCTTGGCAGTGTAAGACTCTCCGAAGAGCCCGCAATGTGTTTGCCAAGCCTGTGCGCTATAGTCTGGCTATCATATAAAAAGTATATTTCATGGTTTTAACCTAGCAGGAAGATGCTGCCCTTTCCACTCTTGCTGTGATAGGAAGAGTTCCCAACGGTGAGCTTACCCTATTTTTTTGCATAGTTCTCAGATCCGCTTTGTGGTCAGTAGGAATCCCAGCCCTGCCGCTGGCATCTGACTGCGTGGGCAATTCCTTTTTCCACGTGAAATCCAACCGTCATTTAAAATGAAACTTTTTCAGGCTGATGGAGCCACAAGTTAGTTTCTGCTACTTCTACCATGACTGGTCTGTAGAATCCTAAAGAAAAAGATACCTTTTTTTTTTTTTTTTTTGCTCTTAACAATCACAAAACAAAGCTGTCTCGTTTTGTATATATTTTAAGTGTTCATATGGGCCTGAAGAGTAACCTGATGCCTGGGGAACTTTTCTGAAAGTGAAGACCTGCCTCCTAATTGATATCTTAATCTATTTCCACAGAAAAAGGTGAACAAATAAATCTTTAAAACAAATGAGGCTTATGCTCCTAAATGGTGATTAGTATTTTTGCTTACAAATGGTAAAGTGAGTTTGTACTTTGTGTGTTTTTTGAGCCTGGTAGGCCATGAGCCAAGGACACTTACTTCACAATAGTGATATAATAGGCACTATGAATATTCAGACTCTCCAGTAGTCAAAATGCATCTTTGGGATATATAACTCGACAACATTTAAAAGAAGTATTGATGCTATGTGTAATAGAGTAGCCGAATTTGGAGTTGAGGTATCATAGGCTAACAGTATTTGAATTCATGTTTGAACAATGACATGTAAGGTCCTAGACCTGTTATTGTACTCAAAATTGCATATTGTCTATAATTTGATCAAGTGCTTTGACATTAACGTATGGTATGTAATTAATGCAAAATTTTAAATTTACATGCATAGAGGATTTAACCAAGGTAACTTCAAATTTGAGAAAGTTAGTAAGAGCCAAAATACTCCATAAACTTCTTTATTTCTAACTACTTATTCAGTTTAAAGTGTCTTTTTAACAAATTAACATGCAAATAATTTTAAGTGAATGTGTTACTATTGCAAGTATGCTAAACCATAAACGTTTAATAGTATATGTTTTGATGTTCTATAGCATTAAAATGAAGTAGTCTGGCATTTTGAGTGATATTTATGAACAAGTGTTTGGCTTATTGGTGCATTGGTATACATGTAGGATGCTGTATGAGAATAGCCTGTCTTAAAGGGCACGCTGGAACTTCTTGTGGCGTATACAACCCTTAGACGCAGAACTGCAGTTAATGGTGTGTTTTCATGAGAAAACCTACATGTCTAATTCTGTATTGATTTCCGGAGTCCTTAGTGGAAAATTGACTCAATTTTATTGAAGTTATTCTGGTCAGCTGGTAATCCTTTAGAGTTGCAGATTGTGTAGTAAGTTAAGCATTTGACAAGTCTTTCATGTATAGCGTATGGATAATTTTTCATAGATTCAGGTTTTTGAGAGCTTCCACATAGGAATTTCAGTCAAAAGCTGTTAAGAAAATTTCTTGACATTGGTATAAAACTCGAAAAACAATTTCCTCCTTCACCTCCAAACTGTAAGAAAGAATTAAAATGGGCAACAAAAATGACATGATGCCTGTGGTAGATGCTTTTTCTTTTTTGAGAGGAAATAAATGTAGTGCAGACCCCAAAGAGCCAGAAATGTAACAGTTACGTAGTCAATGCAGTTAAATGTCTCTAGAGCCATTGTGTAGCCTAAGACAGCCTGCACCTGTATCTCAGACCTACCAAAGCAGAGTGGCTGCATTGTCCGTGCTCTGGGAATTGCTCAGCCGACTGCCATGCAGCCAGCCCAGGAGCATGTCGGATAGGACTGTCCGAGCAGTCCTTCCGCATAGGTGATTGCATCAAGTGCCCAAGAATGTTCTCAGGCTTATTAAATTTACTAATATAGACGTGGCCGGTGTTTTCCTCTCCCACTGAAGCTGCATTGGTTAAAGACTTTTTTACTAATAGAAATTTATTAGAAATTTCTGTTTCACTAATAGAAAATTTTTATTAGGGATTCTGAAATGCAAACTGTTATACTTTTCTGTAGTTGATGCATGCTTCTTATTACTGTCTTTCCTCTAACCGTTAAGTAACATAGTTTAATTTTATTAAGTCAGTTAGACTTTAGGTGAACATACACGTGTGTGCATACTTGGGCTCTGTGTATGTGATATTCTTGTTGTTGTTGTTTTCAAACCATTTATTTTCTTTTCAGTGGGATGCCATAACTGAAATGGATGAACACAATCGTCCCATTCATACTTACCAGGTATGTAACGTGATGGAACCAAACCAAAACAACTGGCTTCGAACAAACTGGATCTCCCGTGATGCTGCGCAGAAAATTTATGTGGAAATGAAGTTTACTCTGAGGGACTGCAACAGTATTCCGTGGGTACTGGGAACTTGCAAGGAAACTTTTAACCTCTACTACATGGAGTCAGATGAGTCGCATGGAGTAAAATTCAAGCCAAACCAGTATACCAAAATTGATACTATTGCAGCTGATGAGAGCTTTACCCAGATGGACTTGGGTGACCGTATTCTTAAACTCAACACAGAAGTTCGTGAGGTTGGGCCAATAAACAAGAAAGGATTTTATCTTGCTTTTCAGGACATTGGAGCGTGCATTGCTTTGGTCTCAGTCCGTGTTTATTACAAAAAGTGCCCTTTCACAGTCCGTAACTTGGCTATGTTTCCTGATACTATTCCAAGGGTTGATTCTTCCTCGTTGGTGGAAGTACGGGGCTCCTGTGTGAAGAGCGCTGAGGAACGCGATACTCCCAAATTGTACTGTGGAGCAGATGGGGATTGGCTTGTGCCTCTTGGACGATGCATCTGCAGTGTAGGATATGAAGAAGTGGATGGTTCCTGCCATGGTAAGAAAAGAGCATTTAATAGAAATCGTATTATGATGTTATATGAGCAGCAAAATAATCTGATGGGATATTGGAAATACCACATCACACTTTCAAGGAATGCTTGAAAGCAGAAATAAGCAAGGCCATTTAAAGTTATGATATTGCTGGTTTCTAAGAAAACCTTTAGTTGCTAAAGGTGACCTTTACTTTATCTAACTACAGATGCCTACAATGCAAATGTCTACAGATCAGCTAGTCATCTTGACTCCTATAGTCGATAGAAATAAGTGTGCCTTTCAGGGCAGTGAAGACAGTGATACGCTGTGATAGACAGGCCTAGAGGCACAGTGAAGTGCCTCTGACCTATCTTAAACGCATATCTTAGGATGAGATAAGCAGTGACTGAAAAATGCCTATTTTTTTCCATATCCCTATAAAGGGAATCTAGTCAGTTAATTCTAACAGATCTTTCCTGTAGACGGATAGAGACAGAGGAGATGAATTCACCCGAAGAGACAGTACCATGATCTATGCTGCTGTAAAACAGAAGGTTTTAAGTGCCTCCATGAGTAACATGCGTTTTAATGTAGTAGAAAATCAGTAGGCCTGAAGTTCAATTACAGAAGTTTGAGCCTCTGTTTAGAATTAATGCAAAAGGTTAAAATCAAGAGTATTCAAAATTATTTCATCTCAGTATGAGTAATGCTATGTAACTAGTACTGGTGTTTCATAAAAAATGACGCAAGAGTATGGCAAGCTAGACTGTTTATTAATCAAGTGTCAGTACATCAGAGTTAGTTGCTGAATGTTGTTTGCCACCTTCTTATATCTTCGAGAAATGTCTACTTTACGAAAGCTGTACTTTGTGATTTCTTTTCAAAAACTTTTGGAGAGACCACGCTGTGTGCTGGTATATATAGAACAACATAGCATTGCACCTTGTCAATTTGGCAGAGAATTAATGAGATGTTTCAAGTCAAGGTAGCAACTTGAAGCTGACTACAAAGGGAATATATTTGTCTTTCCTCATCAGGAAAACATCCATAGATAGGGCAGTGGACACATGCAGGAGCAAAAAACATGTCTTCTGCAGAATCCACATGTTGTTCTGTTTCATCAGCTCTGTCTGTGCCACTCTTAACAGAGGTCGTGTTTGTGGAACTTTGAGCATTGGACTTAATGCTCACGCGGGAATTCAGATTACTTCAACTTCTGTGCTGTTCAGAACATGAATGCAAAGCTAAAACTTCACAAATTCTGTGCTATGCTTGGATTACTTTGTGGATTCAATTTGACACTAATATCTGTAGAGAGCGTGCCTGCTAAGACTCATTTTCCGCCTGTCAGGACCTTTGGAAAGGTAACATTTATTTAATCATAAAAGGCATGCAGCTTCTCATGCTGCAGAGTTTCCTGGTAGTTAATTCTTTTGTCAGCTTCAGAAATCACCAGTCTACTAAAGAACAAATGTCTACTTTTTATATTCTTTTTTTTTTAGTTTACTTTGTATAACAGTTTCATATGGATTTAAGAAGGAGGTGTCTCTTCTCTCTAGTCACGGGTTGTAAAGAAAGCCTCGCTAGCCACTGAGGTATCTGTCTGCTTTAGTTCAACATCTGACTTGTAGCAAAAAGGAAGGCTAAGGGTCCATCTCCATAAATTACACAAATGATATGGCTACTGTCCACATTTTTTATTGAGAGCTCCTGAGTTTTGATCTTAGGCAAGCTATACGGCAGCCATGGATAGTATGGAGCATTGAAAGCACGCTATTATCATCAAAAAATAATGTTCACTTATTCTGTTGTCTGATCCTGGTGGCATAAAATATCAAAATATACCCACTGCTAAGACGCATTCTTGACAGTACCATTACTGGAAGTCGGTATAATCATCTGCATAAGGTCAAAAGGTTTCTCTCTTAATGGGATAAGGATTTTCTTCAGGACGGTAATGCTCAATGGATTTCTGTCCATTATGTGAGTCATGCTCCAGAACCGTACGTAAGGAACATAGCCAGTAGCCAAAGCCTGCAAGACTTGACAGAAAAGCTTTCTGCAATACGTTGGCTCTATTCACTTGTTCATTTGGCAGTGCAGTTGGTTACTGAACAGGTACCTCCTAAATGAAATGCCTGAGGTCATGAGTATTTGCGTGTTCTTATCCATTTCCTATAAGAGTAAGAAATTGTTTTAGAAGGTCATAATCTAACAGAGCTTGTGTGAGATCGCTTTCAGAGGTGTCTGGTTACTGCACATTTGTTTATATTAGTTATCTTCATTGTGTGTTAATATTCGTTCTACTTTTCCTGACTGTTTCTCAAAGTATTTGTGTTGTATTCCTTCCTGTGTGTCATGCTAAAGATAAGCCCAGTTACATAATATACTTTCAAAATGGAACAGCAACAACTTGATTCCATTTTCACTAATACCCGCTCTCCAGTTTTTGTGCTTTTTTTTTTTAAAACAGTGTGAATATTTGAGGATTGTGCACTGAATTGAGATTGTCAGATAAGTTGATACCAGTCCCTCCAAAAAGCCGTAATGTCCTATTTTGAGGCTTTGCTTCTAAGATAAGATGTGAAAGAAATTTAGTTAAAAAGATTTGCTACTTGTCGGTACATCTGCACCAGCTCTTTCATGCCTCTTAAACGTTTAAACATTTAAACATTGCTTATTTGCTATGAAAAAACTGAAGAATTTACATTTCAGTTTATTTTCATAGAAACAAGAAGAAAGGGAGAGGAGAGAAACATTGCTACGTTCTGGTCATCTATGAAAACCTTACATGTACTGAACGCAATCCTTAGGTTTTCTCTGTTTTTCTCCCCTACCACCTTCCACCTCCCAATCCCCCAAACCTGAAACCTTTTTGTTGTTGGCATTCCATCGTCAATATGTTGGAGGTATTCAATGTCACCCTGTCCGTGCTCCTCAGACTCTGTAACATACTGGATAGGCTGGAAAAGTAAGAGAAAAGTCAAGCTAATTGGTTACTGCCTTCCAATTGGAACTAATCAAAACTGTTCAGTAACTTTTCTTCTTCTCCATCAAAATAACTCTCAGTAACAATATTGTGTTCTGAAATCTGTTCTGATGAGGAATTGGTGGTGGGCAGGGTATAGGCTAGTACTTGAATATTTTTCCTACTTGCAAAGGGAGTCAAATTCTAAATTGTGCCCCAGCTCATGGCTCCGTGGGGATTAATAAGCTCTTCATGACAAATACAGCTTATCTGCAACAAAATTTTAAAGATACATTTCTGTTTTGATATTTGTGGAGATAAGCACTCTCTATCCATAAAGTACCGTACCACGCTGTGTAAAGAATGATATAGTGCGTTGCTTGCTCATAGTTTCACAAAGCAGCAAAAAAGGGGAATGAAAAGAATTTGGTCAGGTTTTTTTTGAGCAGTTAAAATCATGGGGCAGCAAGTAAAGTAAATCTTGGCAAAGGAAAACAACCTACCCAGCAACATTTGTTATTTCAAAATTTGTTGGCTCTGTCTGCATTTCCAGAGGCTTATGATGGTTTCTTCATCTGCTTGTGAGCCTACTGGTTTTCTCTATTCACTTGTATTTGGTTTTAAGAACATTATTTCAGAATGAAAGTTTGAGGAGAAGAGTTGGCAATTGGATTAAAATATCCATATTTATTAAATGTATACCTGAATGTGTCTAGAAGAGTTCAGAGACCCACTGATAGAGACTTACTCATTGATTTCAGAAGTATCCTGGTTTACTGAAGTCAATAGCCAAAGTCACGTTGACTGCAAGAGGTTTGGGATTATTCGTGTATCCTGTATGTATGTTAAGGGTATAACTTGAAAAGATACCATCTTTTCTGAGTTAACTGTGTAACAGTCTGTCTCTTTTTGACTTGAATCTACTTTTGAGATAGCACCAACATTCTGCCTTTCCTTTGGCTCCTTACGCATTTGTAAATAAGTTAGTACCAGTGATTTGGCAACACTAACAGTGCATAGCTCTAATAGGAGCTCTAATAGCTTCAGTAGATCACTGGTACCAGCCCCATTCCCATGTGAGCTAGTCATAGTATAAAAGAGGGAGATGCTGCACAGGATTCTGATGCGCATGAGCTGTAAGTATGAAGCTCAAAGCAATATTTTCTTGTAATTTTCTTCAAGACAGAAGTCATGCTGAATTGCACATATGCATAATGTGCAGGTCATATCAGGGTTCCTCACACAAGAATTAAAACTCATAACTCGGAACAAAAGGCTGCTTCTGAGTTGTGAGGTAGGGAAGATAAAAATCGTACTGGCTATAGTTGATCGTGAAAGGAGTAAGAATGGATTTGACAGGCATCTACAATGCAATACGATAAATGGATATTTTGGGAAATAAAACAAGCGGGTGGTTCATGAATACAAAATATGAAACACGTTAAGTGACACTGCCGGAAAACATGAATTACGTTAACCTCTGCAAAGTCCATTCTGTTACTGCACTTCCTGCTTATGTTAGTCACATGATATAAACTTGACTACAACAGTTCTCTTTTAAGTATAATATACCACTTATTGGGTGACTCTTAACTGAAAGCTGATTCTTAAATTCAACTAACTTTTGGTAAATCAGTAGTTAAGGTTATTAATTAACTATGGAGAAAATTTGAATTTTATATATAGCTATCCTGGAACTTATTCTGGAGCCTCAACCGATCAAACATCATGTAGAGATGTATTTTAATTTTAAAATTTGATTGTTCCCGAGGAATATTCTGGGGGGGGGGGAACAAAAACAAAAGAAATCAGTGTGTGGCATGATGGATAAAATTTTTAAAATGTAGAATAACAAGCACTGACAGACAGCCTCATCTGCTTTATTTTAATTAAAATTCCAGTGAGAAATGGGAACGGAAAGCTCAAACTCTTTGAACTAGAATTGACTGAATAACATTGGCTAGGGATGCTAATGTTTGAATATCTTTAAAACTTGATTAATTGAAATTTTTTTCCACTATTCAGTAATCTGAATTGTGTTAATATTTCAGCAT